CCCGCCCTGCCCCGTCCGCTGGCAGGCCTCCGCCACTCACTCGCCGGTCAGGTGCGCGGGGGCGGCCACCCCGGGCGCCCAGCTGCGGCGCGCGGCGGCGGCCTCGACGCGCACGGAGGCGCGGCGGGACGCGCTGCTGCGCAGGCCGGAGCGCGCGCACACGGACTTGTTGGCAAGCATTGTGGCTGCGCGCGGCGAGGGCAGGCGGAGGGCCAGCGGGGCGCTGCAGTTAAGGATTGTGGTGCTATGGTCTTATAAGTGGTGCTGGGGGCCGGCGAAGCGCAAAGGTGCCGGTGCACCGCGCTGTTGATGCGGCAGATCGCCCTTGGTGCCCGAGCCACTGCCGCTGGCGATGGCTTCGCCGCAGTGCCTGCGTCGCGTTGGCCCCCCGCTGCCTCAAAATTTTCCTCCAGTAATAGCCGCAGCACTGCATCTCCCGCATTCCCGGCGGAGGAGCTACCGCGGATCTGGTTCCCGCAGCGTGCCATCTAGACGCACCAGCGGCCTGTGTCTCGTGCTGAAGTGAAAAGTTACACTGACCAAAAACGCTGGCAATTGTGAACGCAGTGCGATGTGCGAATCGCAGAGCTGGCTGGAAGGCCCGAGGGTATAAGGCACTGCGGTTCAGCGAAATTGCCGCTCGGACCTTGCTGCGGCCAGGCTCTGCGCTACTCATGATTCATTGACCCAGAGCATGGTAGTTGCTGCGTGCTTTGCCAAGCGACTGATCTGCGCCCCGCAACGCAAACGACCCCAAGCACGCCATGACGCTCGGAGCCATGTCATGGCGGCAGGTGGTACGAAGCATACACCGTCTTGCATACCACACCACCCCAGATATCAAGGTCTCTCACACCTTGCATTTGAAACGCCGCCCCCCGCCAGCGTGTGAGTTGACTGGTGTGCTCACTAGATTGACCACTTCGGTTGGGGCTCTTGTGACGCAGCGTTACTTGCACACAGCCCGATAAGCAGGGATGGAGGCTATGAGGCTTACAAAGGCTCATATCTCAATGGTTGCCACTAGAAAATACGCCGCGTAGCCACGCGGCACTGACCTGCCGACCACAAACCAGATCAAAGGGTGTGAAGCCGTACGCAGTGGCCCGCCCGCGTGATGGTCATGTCAGGGCAGGTCTGTGCTGAGCAGGGGAGCTTGAGCAATCGGTCAAGGGCGTGTCATTTGCCGGGGCTAGAATTGAAAGGGCCCCACATCAGGAATGGCGGCGGCAGTTCAAGATCCAGCAAACGTGCCACATGCGGCCAAAACAAAACAGGCAACAAACACCAGGGAGGCATTGGGTTTGTTGGTGTGAAATCAACGCGCCAGCAACTCACGTGACGCTTGTACCTGCAACCTACCGGCCCCCCGCCGCCTTGGCAGCTGCGGCCGGGCTGATGTGCGGTCTGCCCTTGGGCGCGACAGCCGGCGCCGGGGACTTCGGCGCAGGGACCCCCGCCTTGGGCGCCGCCGCGGCCGCCGCGGGGGCGGGCTTCGCGGTCTTGAGCGGCGCCGCGGCCGCGGCGCCCTGGTTCCGCCGCTTGGCGGCGTCCGCGGCGATGCCGGTGGCCTCGGCCCAAGCCATCGCGTCGAGTTTGCCCATATTGACGAGGTACTGGAACGTCTCAGGGTCGGGCGCGAGCACGCCGAGCTGCGGGCAGCGGCGCAAGCGGCGAGGCGGCGGCGGTTGCAGCGAAGCCGCAGCGGGGCGGCCGAGGGGCGAGGCGATGCGATAGGGTCCCGCGAACGGCAAGCGCGCCGGGCCCCAGCCCGACCGCAGTCCCTTCAACTTGCCCGCGGCAGGCGCCTCACGCGCGCGTGCGCATGCGCGCACCTCGTTCCACGCCTCGCGCGTGAAGGGGTCCGGCGCGGCCAGCGCCGGCGCGATGTCCAGGCCGGCCTTGCGCATCTGCTGCGCCCGCGCCGCCGGGATCGGCCCCGGCCGGGCCGGCAGCCGCGGCTTGGTCACGTTGGCGGCGACCGCCCGCTTGCCCTGCAGCGACTCTAGCACATATTTGACGATCAGGGAGGTCGCGTCCTGGCCAGGCGCGGCGAACGGGCGGTCCACCGGGCGGCTGTCGACGCGCACGCTGCGTGGGTCGCGCCAGTGGGAGGGTTGGGGGTTGGGGTGGTGGTCCGAGGCTGCGGTGGGGGGGCTGTGGCGGGTGCATAGCGTTGGGGGCCGAGCAAAGGCGACGCGTCGAGTGCGCAAATGCATTGGTTTGGCCGTTGAGCGGACAATGACAGGGACGCCCTCGTTCCAGAGAAAGTGTGGATGCACTGTCCACAACCTGCACTTCGACACCCTGCAGTTCGACAACCTGCAATGCATGCACGACGGTACGAGCAGTAGGGAACCACGGCAACTCGAGAAGTAGCGAGCCACCGGCGCCCCGCCGATGCGGCTGCGGCGGGCGCAAGGTGTGCGGCGCTCTCAAATCCGCACCAGTATTCGATGCCCGGCGGGCAGGGCTTGTTGTCACTCACACCCCCGTCGATTGCCCTGCGCCCGCGCCACGCCGTAGTGAAGTCTGGCCCGCTCCACCCCGGTATGTACGACGACGCCGCGAGCGTCGATATCAAGTCCGGGCGGCCCGTAAACTCCCGGACTGCCACGCCGCTCCTCTTCCCGCCGTCGCCGACGACAGTGACCGAGATGAGGGCGGTGCGGTTGCAGCGCCGCGCCGCATCCGCGGGCAGGAAGCCTTCCAGGTTCTTCCTGACGGCGGCGTCCATCTTGCCGGAGCAGTTTGCGGGGCGCGTGTAGCACTCTGTTGTCAGCAGTGAGACCTGGAAGTCAAGGGGTTGTCATGCGGGCACAAGTACGTTTGTGTATGTGTGTGTGTGTGTGTGTGTGTGAGAGAGAGAGTGCGTGTGTGTGTCTGTGTGTTTGTGTGATTGTGCCTGTATGTTTTGAGGGAGTGCACACATGCGACACGCCGGCCAGGAGGTTGCCCTAAACATGCAGGTTGCTGCGGGTTCGCCATTGCGCCAGGTGCAGAGTGTCTCCTACGGGGCACAGCTTCCGCCAGGCTGCGAAGGCGCCAGCACCAGGCAGGCTGGGACATGGCCCAGGGCGGCCCAGCCGCGGGGCCCACCGTTTTGTAGAACGCCTCCGCGCTCTGCCCGCTGCATATGGCAGCCGCCGTCAGCGCGCCGCTCGACGCGCCCGCGACGGGGGGCGCGAGCCTCCCTGGTTCTATGATCCTGAGCTGCTGCAGCACAGAGACGACGCCGACTGCCCAGGCGTGCAGCGCGCGGTGTCGGTTTGAGGCGGTTTTCGTTTGTCAGCGGGGTTTCGAAGACCGTGTTGAGACAGCGCAGTATTGCTACCACGAGATTTATCGCCGGGGCATATCAAGCAATGCCAGCAGTTTTGTGTGAACGAGCATACTTCAGCAAGTTCCTGCCACCGAGCCATGCGTGCGGACGCAATCCAGCAAAGGCGGTGTGGGTCGTGAAAAAGTCCTCACCATAGAAGGCGATCAGATAACCTGCCAGGGAAGGGGGGAAGGGGCGGCGCCGTCGGAGAAGGGGGCGTGAGCGGGTACAATCAGTGAGAGGCGGCGCACCATGCAGCGCGACTGGCTATATTCCCTCACAGGCGCACGCCCAAGACGTCCGCACACGTGGCTGGTGATGAAACTGTATCAAACTGCAGTAGAGCTTCAGTCGTGGAACGACGCAATCGGGGCACGCGCAGGCCGAGTAGCTGGATGGTCACACCCCGGCAGCCAGACCGCCCCCTGGGCGAGCTGCTGATCCCGCTTGGCGTGCCCGACGCTCGCCAGCCGGCAACAGAGTGGCAACAGTTTCAGAGCGCTTGGGTACCACAACAGATCCCAAGGTTCAGATTCGCCGCTCTCAAACGCATGTGCGCAAAAGAATGACCTGCAGAGCACCGGCCATGCTGACAAGCGGCGGCGCCGCAATGTCCCCTTCGGCTCCGCGCGGTCCGCTGCCCATTGCAGCTGGCACGGGTATATAATCCTTTACGCACCTCCGCCGCTGAAAGAAAAGCCAAGGGTGCCTCTCTCGAACGCTTGAAGTGGCGTACCCGTGAAATTCCCTATTGCACCCTGAATCATCGTAGTCAATGTAACGTATAGATTCCTAACCACAGTCGCTGCGAGCGGACGCTGATTGATCTGATTATGGCCGCGCCCCTCGTGGTGACTGCAGCCTCAGGCATGCAGTAATGCGGTGCAAAGTAACACTCAATCAATTGTGATCACAATTGCATTGCGCCGTCTATGAGAACTCGTCATTGCCCCTGGCCCAGGCGCTAGTGCCAGCCGGGACGCGGGTGATGAGCGGCCACGTCCTGCTGATGCACGCCTGCATGTGGGCGCGTCAGCCGTGGGCTCCCACCAAGTTACTTTCCTCAGTGTGTTGGATCCAGACGGACAAGATCTCTGCCCTCTGCGCGGGCTGTAAGGGTGAGCACATGCAGGTCACCAGACATTTGAAAAACGCATGCGTGCAAGCAAGCACATGCACACGCGCAAGATTTCCCGTGTTGTTGCTCAACCGCACTTACCGCATTCGCAAGCGCACACACACATGCACACGTGGATTTGCGTGTGTTCACACACATGCGCACGCGCATGCACAGGTGCATGCGCGGCCACAAACGCACATGTGCGTGCGCACCCACGTATGCACGCATATACACACACACACACACACACACACACACACACACACACACACACACACACATGTGCGTGCGCATGCTTGCATGGCCGGCTTGGTTATTCGCCTCATGCGCGGCCCCGGTGAGCGTGTCGCACAACCGCGCATCGTATTTGGTTGGCAAGCGGCCGCACCCACAAATAGCCACATCTCTGTGCCCGGGGAAGCTGCCAGGCAGCAGCATGCTGATGTGGCAACGCCTTGCTTGCTCAACATCAGGCTGCATCTTCCGCTCGCACACTTCCTTGTTGGGTAAATGAGTGCAGAGCTCACCGCAAATCGTGCTTACACCGCACTTACAGTTCACAGAATCATCTCTCGGGTTAGGCCACCTGAGGCCTAACCTAGGAAATGCAGATGTTGCTCTTGCACCCCAAGGTGACGGCAATTATAAGATAAGCGCTGGGGGCCTGAATGCAGGCAGAAGAGAAAAGCAAACAACGCAGTAGCAAGCGGGTCAACTACTGTGCAGGAGAGGCAAGTCATCTGGCTAGCAACGACGAGGAAACCCGGTGAGTTTGAGGTACCGGCAGTAGGTAAATTGCTGGGGGCGCTGCGCGCACCCCTGGCGGCGCGCTGTTGCAGCGTCCACACGTCTCGCGGTCAGTGAGAGGAGGCCACATCCTGCGGCTGCTGCTATGGCTGCTGCTACTGCGGCGGTGGCAGCCGTGCATGCTGGCGTTCAACTGGCCCGGATACGTCGGGGGTGCCACCACCAGGCTCCGCTGCAGAACGTCCAGCTGCCACTGGTGGGACCCCGCCAGGGGAGCGCACCCCGCCTCGCCCGCCAGCGCCTGCAGTCAACCCCTCTGCCGCCGCCGCTCGCTGCTCATGCCGCCTCTGCGCTGCGCCCGCCCCGCCGCCTCCCTCGCCGCCGCCGCCGCCGCCGCCGCCTCCCTCGCCGCCGCCGCTGTCGCCGGCGCCAGCGTTGACGCCGCTAGTCGGATGCCTCGGCTGCTGCTGGCGGCACGGGCGCGGGGCGCCGCCGCTGCCGCTGCCAGGCTTTTCGCGCGGCACCCCCTCCGCACTCTGCGGCGGGCCGTCGCCGTCCGGGCGAGGGCGGGGCCGCCTGATCCGCTCTGGCTGCCCTTGACGAGGCCCGTCGCGTGACGGCGCCTCCGGTCCCTCCGCCTCCCGTCCCTCCAGCTGCCCCTGCCGGGCGCCCCGCGGCCGCCGCACCCGCTGCTGCTGCTGCTGCTGCTGCTGCTGCTGCTGCTGCTGTTGCTGCTGCTGTTGCTGCTGCTGCTTGTGGTTGTCATAATCAACTGCAACCTCCTCCACATCCTGCTGCCCGATCTGGCGCCCCGGTGGCGCCGCGGGCTCGCGCCGCCGCCGCCTGCCGCCATCCTTGGGGGGGGCCCCAGCGCCGCCCTCCCTGACAGACGCGCGGCCACCCTCCTCCTCAGC